CTCAGAGATTTTGCCACCACCAGGCCTGCTTTACAAGAGCTCCTAAAAGAGGCACTACACATAGAAAGGAACAACCAGTACCAGCCATTCCAAAATCACACTAAATGCTAAAGAACATCAACATAATGAAGAATCTACAACAACTAACAGGCAAAACAGCCACTTAGCATCAAAATGGCAGTATCAAATTCACATATAACAATATTAACCCTAAATGTAAATGGACTAAATGCACCAATCAAAAGACACAGACTGGCAAATTGAATAAAAATCCAAAACCCATCAGTGTGCTGTATCCAGGAAACCCATCTCACATGCAAGGATACACAAAGGCTCAAAATAAAGGGATGGAGGAAGATTTACCAAGCAAATGGAGAGCAAAAAAAAGCAGGAGTTGCAATCCTCATCTCTGATAAAATAGACTTTAAAGCAACAAAGATCAAAAGAGACAAAGAAGGCCATTACATAATAGTAAAAGGATCGATATGACAAGAAGAGCTAATGATCCTGAACATATATGGACCCAATGCAGGAGCACCCAGATACATAAGGCAAGTTCTTAATGACTTACAAAGAGACTTAGACTCCCACACAATAATTGTGGGAGACTTTAACACTCCACTGTTAATATTAGACAGATCAACCAGACAGAAAATCAACAAGGATATCCAGGGCTTGAACTCAGACCTGGAGCAAGCAAACCTGATAGACATTTACAGAACTCTCCACCCCAAATCCACAGAATACACATTCTTCTCAGCACCACATCACACCTACTCTAATATTGACCACATAATTGGAAGTAAAGCACTGCTCAACAAATGCAAAACAACTGAAATCATAACAAACAGCCTCTCAGACCATAGTGCAATCAAGTTAGAACTCAGAATACAGAAACCGACCCAGAACCGCACAGCTTCATGGAAACTGAACAACTGGCTCTTGAATGTTGACTGGGTAAACAATGAAATGAAGACAGAAATAAAGAAGTTCTTCGAAACCAATGAGAAATGAAGACACAACATACCAGAACCTCTGGGACACATTTAAAGCAGTCACTAGAGGAAAGTATATAGCAATAAGTGCCCATATGAGGAGAATGAAGAGATCCAAAATTGACACCCTATCGTCAAAATTGAAAGAGCTAGAGGAGCAAGATCAAAAAAACTCAAAACCCAGCAGAAGACAAGAAATAACTAAGATCAGAGCTAAACTGAAGGAGATTGAGACACGAAAAACCCTTCAAAAAAATCAATAAATCCAAGAGCTGGTTTTTTTAAAAGATCAACAAAATAGACAGACCACTAGCCAGATTGATTAAAAATAAAAGAGAGAACAACCAAATAGATGCAATAAAAAATGATAAAGGGGAAATCACCACGGACTCCACAGGAATTCAAACCATCATCAGAGAATATTACAAACAACTCTATGCATATAAACTAGTAAACCTGGAAGAAATGGATAAATTCCTGGACTCCTGTGTCCTCCCAAGCCTAAACCAGGAGGAAGCTGAAACTATGAATAGACCAATAACAAGGTCAGAAGTCGAGGCAGCAATTAAGAGCCTACCGCACAAAAAAAGCCCAGGTCCAGATGGGTTCACAGCCGAATTACACAAAGAGGAGCTGGTACCATTCCTTCTAAAACTATTCCAAATAATCCAAAAAGAGGGAATCCTTCCAAAATCATTTTATGAGACCAACATCATCCTGATACCAAAACCCAGCAGAGACCCAACAAGAAAAGAAAACTTCCGGCCAATATCCATGATGAACATAGATGCAAAAATCTTCAATAAAATATTGGCAAGCCGATTGCAACAGCAAATCAAAAAACTTATTGATCACGATCAAGTAGGATTCATCCCGGGGATGCAAGGCTGGTTCAACATACGCAAGTCTATAAACGTAATTCACCACATAAACAGAACCAAAAACAAAAACCACATGATTATCTCAATTGACGCAGAGAAGGCATTTGACAAAATACAACAGCCCTTTATGCTAAAAACCCTCAATAAACTCGGTATCGACGGAACGTATCTCAAAGTAATAAAAGCTATTTATGACAAACCAACAGCTAATATCATACTGAATGGGCAAAAACTGGAAGCATTCCCTTTGAAATCCAGCACTAGACAAGGATGCCCTCTGTCACCGCTCCTATTCAATATAGTACTGGAAGTTCTAGCCAGAGCAATCAGGCAAGAAAAAGAAATAAAGGGTATTCAAATAGGAAACGAGGAAGCCAAATTGTCTCTATTTGCAGACGACATGATAGTATACCTAGAAGACCCCATCGTCTCAGCCCCAAAACTCCTGAAACTGATAAGCAACTTCAGCAAAGTCTCAGGATATAAAATCAATGTGCAAAAATCACAAGCATTCATCTACACCAATAACAGACTTAAAGCCAAATCAAGAATGAACTGCCATTTACAATTGCTACAAAAAGAATAAAATACCTTGGAATACAACTCACAAGGAACGTAAGGGACCTCTTCAAGGAGAACTACAAGCCACTGCTCAATGAAATCAGAGAGGACACAAACAGATGGAGAAACATTCCATGTTCATGGTTAGGAAGAATTAATATCGTGAAAATGGCTATACTGCCGAAAGTAATTTACAGAATCAATGCTATCACCATCAAGCTACCATTGACTTTCTTCACAGAACTGGAAAAAACCACCATGAACTTCATATGGAACCAAAAGAGAGCCCGCATAGCGAAATCAATTCTAAGCAAAAAGAACACAGCGGGGGGCATCACACTACCGGATTTCAAGCTATACTACAAGGCTACAGTAATCAAAACAGCATGGTACTGGCACCAAAACAGAGATATAGACCAATGGAACAAAACAGAGGCACCGGAGGCAACACAACATATCTACAACTATACAATCTTCGATAAACCTGACAAAAACAAGCAATGGGGAAAGGATTCCCTATTTAACAAATGGTGTTGGGAAAACTGGCTAGCCATGTGCAGAAAGCAGAAACTGGACCCCTTCCTGACACCTTACACTAAAATTAACTCCAGATGGATTAAAGACTTAAACCTAAGACCTGGCACCATAAAAACCCTAGAAGGAAATCTAGGCAAAACTATCCAGGACATAGGAGTAGGCAAGGACTTCATGAACAAAACACCAAAAGCATTGGCAACAAAAGCCAAAATAGACAAATGGGACCTAATCAAACTCCACAGCTTCTGCATGGCAAAAGAAACAGTCACTAGAGTGAACCGGCAACCAACAGAATGGGAAAAAATTTTTGCAGTTTACCCATCTGACAAAGGGCTGATATCCAGAATTTACAAAGAACTCAAACAGATTTACAAGAAAAAAACAAGCCCATTCAAAAGTGGGCAAAGGATATGAACCAACACTTTACAAAAGAAGACATATATGAGGCCAACAATCATATGAAAAAATGCTCATCGTCACTGGTCATCAGAGAGATGCAAATCAAAACCACATTGAGATACCATCTCACGCCAGTTAGAATGGCGATCATTAAAAAATCTGGAGACAACAGATGCTGGAGAGGATGTGGAGAAAAAGGAACACTTTTACACTGTTGGTGGGAGTGTAAATTAGTCCAACCATTGTGGAAGACAGTGTGGTGATTCCTCAAGGCCTTAGAAATAGAAATTCCATTTGACCCAGCAATCCCATTACTGGGTATATACCCAAAGGACTATAAATCATTCTACTATAAGGACACATGCACACGAATGTTCATTGCAGCACTGTTTACAATAGCAAAGACCTGGAATCAACCCAAATGCCCATTGATGATAGACTGGATTGGGAAAATGTGGCACATATACACCATGGAATATTATGCAGCAATCAGAAATGATGAGTTCGTGTCGTTTGTAGGGACATGGATGAATCTGGAGAACATCATTCTCAGCAAACTGACACAAGAACAGAAAATGAAACACCGCATATTCTCAGTCATAGGTGGGTGATGAAAAATGAGAACACATGGACACAGAAAGGGGAGTACTAAACACTGGGGTCTATTGGGGGGAAAAGGGGAGGGCCAGTGGGAGGGGGAGGTGGGGAGGGATAGCCTGGGGAGAAACGCCAAATGTGGGTGAAGGGGTGAAAGCAAACAGAACACACTGCCATGTGTGTACCTATGCAACTGTATTGCATGCTCTGCACATGTACCCCAAAACCTAAAATGCAATAAAAAAATAAGGAAAAAAAAATAATAATACAGTATATTTACTATTTTAGTTAACAGTATGTCCATATTAGTCCAAAAACAAATAGATGTATTTATTTTTACAAAAAGAAACAGAGATATACCACAAATAATGAAATAGGTTATCTCTGGGGGACAGAGGAAGGAATAGGTGGAAGGGATAGAGCTGAGGAAGTTACACTTTTCTAAGCATAACTTTTTACATAGTTTTGACTTAAAAAAAACTTTTAACTTTGGAATTATAGATTCAGACCAGGTGTGGTGGCTCATGCCTGTGATCCCAGCACCTGGGAGGCCAAGGTGGTCAGATCGCTTGAACTCAGGAGCTCGAGACCAGTCTAGGCAACATGGCAAAATCCCGACTCTACAAAAAGTACAAAAATTAGCCAGGTGTGGTGTGTGTGCCTGTAGTCTCAGCTACTTGGGGGACTGAGGTGAGAGGATCCCTTGAGACAGGGAGGTTGGCTGCAATGAGCAGAGATCACACCACTGCACTCCAGCCTGGGCAACAGACTGAAACTCTGTCTCAAAACAAACAACAACAACAAAAAAATGTGACCTGCAAAATAAAGCATTGGAGTTAACTGCTCTCTTAATACAAACGCTTTGAATTGTGTCTCTGATTGTCACCCCTGGCCTTTTTTATACCGTGGGGCAATGTGCCATTGTTAGACAAGGAGGAGGAGATGTATGTCTTTTGGAAAAAGGATGACTGTAAAAGCAAAATGAGAAAAGAGAAGCTGTGCCCACAACACTAACATGCTTTTAGGCAAGTCAAGTTTAGGAAAGAGTTTATATGAAACTGAAGATCTGGGAATTGATCCCTTAAGAAGAAAGTCTGTGTACCCTTTGAAGGCCATTGGTATACACATGTCTTTTTGCCTGCTCCTTTTTATTCTTACAACCTACTCTAATTGCACCTCTGTCTCCACAGCTCCATTGAACATACTTTTACAAAGGCCATCAATGATACATACACATTGCTAAACATACAAAAAAATCATGAGCAAGTAGTTACAAGCTTCAGGACAGAGAGAAAAAGAAATTCTAATGCAGAAATTTTACCCAAAGTTTCATTTTATAATCAATATTAGTAATAAAGACCAAGACACATGGGCCAGGCATGGTGGTTCACACATGTAATCCCAGCACTTTGGGAGGCCAAGGTGGGTGGATCACCTGAGGTCAGGAGTTTGAGAGTAGCCTGGCCAACATGGCAAAACCCCATCTCTAATTCAAATACAAAAATTAGCTGAGCGTGGTGGTGCACGCCTGTAATCCGAGCTGCTTGGGAGGCTGAGACGGGAGAATCACTTGAACCTGGGAGGCAGAGGTTGCAGTGAGCCAAGATCATGCCACTGCACTCCAGCCTGGGGGTCAGAGACTCTGTCTCAAAAAAAAAAAAGGGCTGGGTGCGGTGGCTCAAGCCTGTAATCCCAGCATTTTGGGAGGCTGAGGCGGGTGCGGGTGGATCACAGGGTGGAGAGATCGAGACCATCCAGGTCAACATGGTGAAACCCCGTCTCTACTAAAAATACAAAAAATTAGCTGGGCATGGTGGCACCTGCCTGCAATCCCAGCTACTCAGGAGGCTGAGGCAGGAGAATTGCCTGATCCCAGGAGGCGGAGGTTGCGGTGAGCCAAGATCGCGCCATTGCACTCCAGCCTGGGTAACAAGAGCGAAACTCCATCTCAAAAAAAAAAAAAAAAAAAAAGACGTAAGACATGGAGTACATTAGTTTGGGGACAGGTCTCTTGATCTAGTTGGCTCCAACCAGGAGTGAGATAGCTGTGCAAGGTTGCATTCAGGCAAACCTGGCTGGTCCATTTTCGGAACTAGCCAATCCACTAAGAATTTTGATGAAGCATTTCATCAGGTATGGGCGTGTCAATGAAGAGTCAACTCTGTAAAATGTTTGAGGAGATTTATTCTGAGCCAAATATGAGTGACCATGGCCCATGACACAGCCCTGAAGAGGTCCTGAACATGTGCCCAAGGTGGTCGGGGCGCAGCTTGGTTTTATACATTTTAGGGAGGCATGAGACTTAATCAAATACATTTAAGAAATACCTTGGTTTGGTTCAGAAAGGTGGGGCAACTCAAAGCAGGGGCTTCCAGGCTATAGGTAAATTTAAACATTTTCTGATTGACAATTGGTTGAGATGACAATTGTCTGAACACCTGGGATCAATAGAAAGGAAATGTTCAGGTTAAGATAAAAGATTGAGACCAAGGTTCTTGTGAAGTCTCATAGAGGCTGCCTTAGAGATGAGAGAAGACAAATGTTTCCTATTCAGACCTTTAAAAAGATGCTAGACTCTCAGTCTCTTCAGGAGAGTCAGATGCATATTTTCCCCCACAAAGGACAGCTTTGCAGGACCATTTGAAAATATAGCAAAGAAACATGTTGGGTTATATATATATATATATATATATATATATATAGTTTTTCTTGAGACAGAATCTTGCTCTGTCACCAGGCTGGAGTGCAGTGGTGCGATCTCGACTCACTGCAACCTCCCAGGTTCAAGCAATTCTCCTGCCTCAGCCTCCCGAGTAGCTGGGACTATAAGCACGTGTCACCATGCCCAGCTAATTTTTGTATTTTTAGTAGAGATGGGGTTTCACCATGTTGGCCAGGATGGTCTCAATCTCTTGACCTCGTGATCCGCCTGCCTCAGCCTCCCAAAGTGCTGGGATTACAGGTGTGTGCCACAGTACCTGGCCTGGGGTAGAATATTTTGACTTTCTTCCTTGTCACATAATGTTATGCCAGAATCAGCTTGGAAAGCCAGTCACCATACATAGGGTTAAAATCCATCTGATGAGAATTTATGGTTTGTAGGGCATGATTCCCCAGACCCCTTACGGATGTGGGCAAGATTAAAAAAAAAAAAATTAGAGCTTAGTCCTCAGGCAGCTTCTGAAATGGTAGAAAAAACTGTGAGTTTGGAGGAAAAATATGGATCAGCCATTGTTCTTAAGAGGTACTACCTGACGTTTCAACCTACTATAAAGAGGGAAATTTAAAGTATTAATGTGTTGGTAGGACCTGTTTTTTTTTTTTTTTTTTTTTTTTAAATACACCTCCCCCTAAAGAAACTTCTCTCGCAGGCCACACTATAACCGGATAGACGCACAAGATGTTTTGGACAGAGAGTGGTGGAGCCAAGATTGCAGCTCCTGTTTGAGTCCTCGGGGATCCAGAGCCACTTCTCCGATGTTAGCTTGAAAACCTTGGGCAACTTCTGGAGATTTCAACGTCTCATAAAGTGCAGAAATGTGACTGGCACAGCGTCCTCTCTGGAATTGATGGTGTCTTTCTGTAAGGGTTGATTCTCCATCCCATCAACCAAATTGGGAAAGCCAGAGCATCTTTTTTTTTTTTTTTTGAGACGGAGTTTTGCTGTTATTACGCAGACTGGAGTGCAATGGCACAGCTCACCACAACCTCCGCCTCCTGGGTTCAAGCAATTCTCCTGCCTCAGCCTCCGGAGCAGCTGGGACTACAGGCGCGCACCACCACGCCCAGATAATCTTTGTAGTTTTCATGGAAACGGGGTTTCACCTTGTTGACCAGGATGGTCTCGATCTCTTGACCTCGTGATCCACCCGCCTTAGCCTCCCAAAGTGCTGGGATTACAGGCATGAGCCACCGCGCCCGGCCCAGAGCATCTTTTTCTTCAAGAATGACAGGTGGTTTCTCCCGGGCTTTTCTGCCCCTCTACCTTTCTCTCCAACGCAGCCTATGGAATATTTAAAAATATGTAGATTAACACCTGACACGTTTGAAAGTCCTTTGTAACCAACTTCCTCCTCAATATAAAATATTAATGTAATTTTTAATTTTTTTCCGCCTCCGCCGTCCCGCCCCTAACATTAGAACTCTCTTTAGACACCGTTTGGAGAGGGCCAGGTGCTGAAATGCGGCGTTTTTTCTTTGGTGGCTACAGGAAGACGCCTTGTGGCTGTTGTACTGGCTTTCCCTCTTCATAGCAGAGATGGTGCCTCTGGACATTTTCAGACAGCAGGATCCCTGAGTGAGTGGTAGGGTCTCCAGCCCCGCTTAGCGGAAGCAGCTTTCAGGTCTCCTAGGAGGGCAGGTTTATGAGCATGCGCAGAGGATTTTCCGTTGGGGAGCCGATGGGGCGCGGCTCCTTGGAGCATGCGCACACAAACTTTCCGCTAGGAATCAAGCCGAGCTTGCACACACCGATGTTAGGAAGGTTCCGGGCGAGCTAGTTGGGAACGTGCGGCGTCAGGTTCGGGGTCATGTTGACATCGTCCGAGAGTCTGTTAAAATCCTTCTTTGGTCGGATTCCAGACTCGTGGAGGAAAGGCTGGTATATTCGTTTTATAACAGGAGTTTTAGCGTCTTTTTTCCTTGGATAAGTTTTTCCAAATATAAATATATTAAATATTCATTTAAAAATATCTAAGAATTAAGCAGCAATTAAATAGGCAAAGGACTGTCGTACAAAGTTCATAGAAAACTAGTAGTTACAAATAGACTTTAAATATATGAAAAAATGCCTAGCTGCGTGTTTTTGTGGGTTTTTTGTTTTGTTTTGTTTTTATGGTTTTTTGTTTGTTTGTTCTTTTATTTTTTGAGATGGAGTCTCACTGTGTTGCCCAGGCTGGAGTGCAGTAGTGCAATCTTGGCTCACTGCAACCTCTGCCTCCTGGTTTGAAGCGATTCGCCCTCTTCAGCTTCCCGAGTAGCTGGGATTACAGGCACGCAGCACCATGCCTGGCTAACTTTTGTATTTTTAGTAGAGATTGGGGCCTCCATGTTGGCCAGGCTGGTCTTGAACACCTGATCTCAGATGATCCGCCTGCCTCAGCTTCCCAAAGTGCTGGGATTACAGGTGTGAGCCACAGCACCTGGCCTGTTTTTTTTTCTTTTTTTCTTTGAGACAGGGGGCACAATCACCGCTCACTGCAGCCTCCACCTCCTAGGCCCAAGCAATCCTCCCACCTCAGTTACCGCAAGTACTGGGATTACAGGCCAGCTTCTTTTAATAAAAATGCAAATCATCATTATTGGTAAACACTGAAACGTTTGGCAATATACTGGATATAGGAGGATGTAAGAGAAACAAGGGCTGAGTTACAGTGCTAGTAGGAGAGCAGAATGCAGCAATCCTTGGTGGTTATCAAAACCACACTGAATAATATTTGCATTTTGATCCAACAGCCCCACTTTGGGGAATTTTGCCTCCAAATACACTTGCTTACATATAAAGTGATATGTATATGAGGTTATTGATTGTAATAGCAAAAGATTGGAAACTACGTGAGTATCCATCAGAGGACTGATATTATAAACTATAGTATATATGCAAAATGGAGCATTAAGCAGCGATGAAAAAGAGTGAGGAATCAGTTCCCAACATACTAATGTGGAACTATCTCTAGCATATCTTACTAAGTGAAAAAAGCCTAGGTGCCAAACAGTATATAAATTATGCCTTTTATGTAGGAAAGGATAAATGAGAGTACATGATTCTTATTTCCACATAAATTCTGATAATATACTCAAGAAACTAATAGTCATGGTTTCTTATGAGACGGAGGGTAGGACTGAGATAGGGTGAGAGACTTCTCAATGTATTCCTCATTATAATATATTGTTTTTTGAATTATATGAATGCTGTTCATTAAAAACAAAAATAAGATTACAGTAACTTTTTTTTTAAGCTAGAAATGTATAATATTAAAAGTGGAGGCTGGGTGTGTGGCTCACACCTGTCATCCCACCACTTTGGAAGACTAAGACAGGAGGATTCCTTGAGCACAGGAGTTTGAGACCAACCTGGGCAACGCGGTGAAAACCCGTGTCCCCAAAAACCAAACCCCAAAATTAGATGGGAGTGGTGGTGGGCACCTCTAGTCCCAGCTACTGGGGAGGCTGAGGTTGGAGGATTGGTTGAGCCCAGGAGGCGGAGGTTACAGTGAGCTGATATCCTGCCACTGCACTCCAGCCTAGGTGACAGGGAGACTGTCAAAAAAAAAAAAAAAAAAAAAAAGAGAGATGATAGAGAAAGAAAAAGGTGAAATTATGGGAGATCTTTCTTTCTTTCTTTCTTTCTTTCTTTCTTTCTTTCTTTCTTTCCTTTCTTTTCTTTCTTTTCTTTCTTTCTGATATTTCTTTCCTTTTCTTTCTTTTGAGACAGGGTTTCCCTTCATCTGACCTTTGGTATTTGAACAACAACAAAAAAAGACAGACAGGGTTTCCTCTGTTGCCAGACTGGACTGCAGTGGCACAATGACAACTCACTGCCTGGGCTCAGGCAGTCTGCCTACCTGAGCCTCCCAAAGTGCTGGGATTACAGGGGTGAGCCACTGTTCCCAGACAATATTATTTTACATGTTTTTACACACACAGCTTCTTCCAAAGTGTTGTACCAATTTACATTTCCATCTGCAGTATAGAAAAGCTCCTTCCCTTTTATATATAGGCTGATTATAGGGTCAGGAACACATGACATTCCTGGCCACATCAATCCAGTGCCAAAGAGAGAGTGAATAAGTGACAAAATTAGTTGGGAATGCAGTTGTTCTCATTTCCTCTCCATGCTGAATTTACTAAGCTCTGCTGTTTCCTAGTCAGACCACTTAAATTCATTCAGTTCACTTTTTCACTCATAAACCTGTGCTAAAAACTGCACCTGCAGCAATGGTTTAAATGATTAAATGAGATAATAATGTAAAAGTTCCTTATAAACTGCTTGCTTCTTTGTAAAAGTTATTATAACTACTTTTTAGTTTTTCTTTTGCATCTTTATTAATTTTGTCTCTCTCAATGGACTATAATGAGATTATGATCTCATCACAATTAATAGATTCTTCATTCCATTTTGTCTCTCATTAGATGAGACTATATTCATTTTAATTAATTAAAATGAATTATGTTATATAACCTTATAATAAATTATGACTTTTATTCTTCCAGCATGTCTTAGTTGTTTTTTAACATTTTCTAATCATTGCTCTCTCACTAATTGTCAGATGTTTCAGTGTAAGAACTCTTTCTAAGACAGCTCCTCATTTTTGATAAGGCCAGGTCAATAATTTGCAGAATATTCATTAACATTATTTAGTGATTCATTTAGTCAGATATTTCAGGGATATTTCACATTCGGTGCACCAGAAAACCATCCCGAGATGGAGGTTAGCATGCAGGAAATTTAGCAGGAAGTTCTCATGGAATTCACATCTGTGCAAGAAAGAGAACAGCAATATGGACTTGGCTAAGTCATCAGCCTGCTACAGAAAGCTGGAATAACTCTTCAGACTTGGAGGTAGGAAGACTTTATATCCCTGCATTTATCAATATTTGATTGCAGCCTCTCCCGTGGTGAGGCAAGACTTTAGAAGAAGCAGTTGTTTGCAACCAAGTTACTGCCCAAACAGGGCAACTTCTGATCAGAGGAACAGTCCTTCATTCCCGAAGGTGGCTCTGAGTGGTGTACAGTAGCAGGGAGAGAAGTGAGGAAGAAAAGGAAGGAAGACAAGCCACAGTTCAAGAAAAAAACACTACAGATTACCATTGACGTACCCTTCTCCATTCCACTTTCCTACACTCCCCTCACCACCTCCACCCCTCACCTACCCACCTCTGCCCCTACTGCCACCACCAACACACAGAGTCTTAACTTTGCACCCTTAAGGAGGAATGGTTTTACAACCCCTAAAAACAAATCCTTTGTTAAAAAAAAAAAAAAAAGAAAGAAAAGCTCCTTCCCCTTGCTGCATGTCCTTACCAATTCTTAGAATTGACAGACTACTTTTTTGGTCAGTCTTGTGGGTATAAAATATTATCTGATTGTGTTTTCACTTTGCATTTCTGTGATCATTAGCCAGGTGAGCCTCTTTTCTTTATTTTTTATTGCATTTTAGGTTTTGGGGTACATGTGAAGAACATGCAAGATAGTTGCATAGGTACACACGTGGCTGTGTGATTTGCTGCCTTCCTCCCCTTCACCCACATCTGGCATTTCTCCCCATGCTATCCCTCCCCAGCTCCCCCCCGACTGTCCCTCTCCTATTCCCCGCAATAGACCCCAGTGTGTAGTGCTCCCTTCCCTGTGTCCGTGTGTTCTCACTGTTCATCACCCGCCTATGAGTGAGAATATGCGGTATTTCATTTTCTCTTCTTGTGTCAGTTTGCTGAGAATGATGTTCTCCAGATTCATTTATGTCCCTACAAAGGACATGAACTCATCGTTTTTGATGGCTGCATAATATTCCATGGTGTATATGTGCCACATTTTCCCAGTCCAGTCTATCATTGATGGGCATCTGGATTGGTTCCAGGTCTTTGCTATTGTAAACAGTGCTGCAATGAACATTCGTGTGCATGTATCCTTATAGTAGAACGATTTATAGTCCTTTGGATATATACCCAGTAATGGGATTGCTGGGTCAAATGGAATTTCTATTTCTAGGTCCTTGAGGAATCGCCACACTGTCTTCCACAATGGTTGAACTAATTTACACTCCCACCAGCAGTGTAAAAGTGTTCCTATTTCTCCACATCCTCTCCAGCATCCGTTGTCTCCAAATTTTTTAATGATCGCCATTCTAACTGGCGTGAGATGGTATCTCAATGTAGTTTTGATTTGCATTTCTCTGATGACCAGTGATGGTGAGCATTTTTTCATGTTTGTTGGCCTCGTGTATGTCTTCTTTTGTAAAGTGTCTGTTCATATCCTTTGCCCATTTTTGAATGGGCTTGTTTGTTTTTTTCTTGTAAATCTGTTTCAGTTCTTTATAAATTCTGGATATCAGCCCTTTGTCAAATGGATAAACTGCAAACATTTTTTCCCATTCTGTTGGTTGCCAATTCACTCTAGTGACTGTTTCTTTTGCCATGCAGAAGCTGTGGAGTTTGATTAGGTCCCATTTGTCTATTTTGGCGTTTGTTGCCAATGCTTTTGGCGTTTATGGTCATGAAGTCCTTGCCTACTCCTATGTCCTGAATGGTTTTGCCTAGATTTTCTTCTAGGGTTTTCATGGTGTTAGGTCTTATGTTTAAGTCTTTAATCAATCTGGAGTTAATTTTAGTATAAGGTGTCAGGAAGGGGTCCAGTTTTTGCTTTCTGCACATGGCTAGCCAGTTTTCCCAACACCATTTATTAAACAGGAAATCCTTTCCCCATTGCTTGTTTTTGTCAGGTTTATCCAAGATCGTATGGTTGCAGATATGTTGTGTTGCCTCCGATGCTTCTGTTCTGTTCCATTGGTCTATATCTCTGATTTGGTGCCAGTACCATGCTGTTTTGATTACTGTAGCCTTGTAGTATAGTTTGAAGTCCGGTAGTGTGATACCTCCCGCTGTGTTCTTTTTACTTAGAATTGACTTGGCTATGCGGGCTCTCTTTTGGTTCCATATGAAGTTTAAAGTGGTTTTTTCCAGTTCTGTGAAGAAGGTCATTGGTAGCTTGATGGGGATAGCATTGAATCTGTAAATTACTTTGGGCAGTATGGCCATTTTCATGATATTGATTCTTCCTAACCATGAACATGGAATGTTTCTCCATCTGTTTGTGTCCTCTCTGATTTCGTTGAGCAGTGGTTTGTAGTTCTCCTTGAAGAGCTCCTTTACGTTCCTTGTTAGTTGTATTCCTAGGTATTTTATTCTCTTTGTAGCAATTGTGAATGGCAGTTCGTTCTTGATTTGGCTCTCTTTAAGTCTGTTATTGGTGTATAGGAATGCTTGTGATTTTTGCACATTGATTTTGTATCCTGAGACTTTGCTGAAGTTGCTTATCAGTTTCAGGAGTTTTTGGGCTGAGACGATGGGGTCTTCTAGGTATACTATCATGTCGTCTGCAAATAGAGACAATTTGGCTTCCTCATTTCCTATTTGAATACCCTTTATTTCTTTTTCTTGCCTGATTGCTCTGGCTAGAACTTCCAGTACTATATTGAATAGGAGTGGTGAGAGAGGGCATCCTTGTCTAGTGCCGGATTTCAAAGGGAATGCTTCCAGTTTTTGCCCATTCAGTATGATATTGGCTGTTGGTTTGTCGTAAATAGCTTTTATTATTTTGAGATACGTTCCGTCAATACCGAGTTTATTGAGGGTGTTTAGCATAAAGGGCTGTTGAATTTTGTCAAAGGCCTTCTTTGCGTCAATTGAGATAATCATGTGGTTTTTGGTTTTGGTTCTGTTTATGTGGTAAATTATGTTTATAGACTTGCATATGTTGAACCAGCCTTGCATCCCTGAGATGAATCCTACTTGATCATGGTGGATAAGCTTTTTGATGTGCTGTTGCAATCAGCTTGCCAGTATTTTACTGAAGATTTTTGCATCTATGTTCATCATGGAAATTGGCCTGAAGTTTTCTTTTCTTGTTGAGTCTCTGCCGGGTTTTGGTATCAGGATGATGTTGGTCTCATAAAATAATTTGGGAAGGATTCCCCCTTTTTGGATTATTTGGAATAGTTTCAGAAGGAATGGTAACCTCAGAAGGAATGTTCCTCTTTGTGTGTCTGGTAGAATTTGGCTGTGAACCCATCTGGACCTGGGCTTTTTTTGTGTGGTAGGCTCTTACTTGCTGCCTCAACTTCAGACCTTGTTACTAGTCTATTCATAGTTTTGACTTCTTCCTGGTTTAGGTGTGGGAGGACACAAGTGTCCAGGAATTTATCCATTTCTTCCAGGTTTACTAGTTTATGTGCATAGAGTTGTTTGTAATATTCTCTGATGATGGTTTGAATTTATGTGGAATCTGTGGTGATTTCCCCTTTATCATTTTTTATTACATCTATTTGGTTGTTCTCTCTTTTATTTTTTATTAATCTGGTGAGTGGTCTATTTTGTTGATCTTTTCAAAAAAACAGCTCTTGGATTTATTGATTTTTTGAAGGGTTTCTCATGTCTCTATCTCCTTCAGTTCTGCTCTGATCTTAGTTATTTCTTGTCTTCTGCTAGGTTTTGAGTTTTTTTTTTTAATCTTGCTCCTCTAGCTCTTTCAATTTTGATGATAGGGTGTCAATTTTGGATCTCTCCACTCTTCTCATGTGGGCACTTATTGTGATTTATTTTCCTCTAGAGACTCCTTTAAATGTGTCCCAGAGATTCTGGTATGTTGTGTCTTCGTTCTCATTGGTTTCAAAGAACTTCTTTATTTCTGCCTTCATTTCATTGTTTATCCAGTAAACATTCAAGAGCCAGTTGTTCAGTTTCCATGAAGCTGTGCGGTTCTGGGTTGGTTTCTGAATTCTGAATTCTAACTTGATTGCACTATGGTCTGAGAGACTGTTTGTTATGATTTCACTTGTTTTGCATTTGCTGAGGAGTGATTTACTTCCAATTATGTGGTCAATTTTAGAGTAGGTGTGATGTGGTGCTGAGAAGAAAGTATATTCTGTGGATTTGGGGTGGAGAGTTCTGTAAATGTCTATCTGGTTTGCTTGTTCCAGGTCTGAGTTCAAGTCCTGGATATCCTTGTTAATTTTCTGTCCGGTTGATCTGTCTAATATTGACAGTGGCGTGTTAAGTTTTCCACTATGATTGTGTGGGAGTCTAAGTCTCTTTGTAAGTCATTAAGAACTTGCCTTATATATCTGGGTGCTCCTGTATTGGGTCCATATATATTTAGGATCGTTAGCTCTTCTTGTCATATCGATCCTTTTACCATTATGTAATGTCCTTCTTTGTCTCTTTTGATCTTTGTTGCTTTAAAGTCTATTTTATCAGAGACGAGAATTGCAACTCCTGCTTTTTTTTGCTCTCCATTTGCTTGGAAAATCTTCCTCCATCCCTTTATTTTGAGCCTTTATGTATCCTTGCATGTGAGATGGGTTTCCTGGATGCAGCACACCGATGGGTTTTGGCTTTTTATCCAATTTGCCAGTCTGTGTCTTTTGATTGGTGCATTTAGCCCATTTACATTTAGAGTTAATATTGTTATGTGTGAATTTGATACTGCCATTTTGATGCTAAGTGGCTGTTTTGCCTGTTAGTTGATGCAGATTCTTCATTGTGTTGATGCTCTTTACCATTTGGTATGTTTTTGGAATGGCTGGTACTGGTTTTTCCTTTCTATGTGTAGTGCCTCTTTCAGGAGCTCTTATAAAGCAGGCCTGGTGGTGACAAAATCTCTGAGTACTTGCTTGTTCGCAAAGGATTTTATTTTTCCTTCACTTACGAAGTTTAGTTTGGCTGGATATGAAATTCTGGGTTGAAAGTTCTTTTCTTTAAGGATGTTGAATATTGGCCCCCACTCTCTTCTGGCTTGTAGGGTTTCTGCCGAGAGATCTGCTGTGAGTCTGATGGGCTTCCCTTTGT